GATGACAGACACCCTAAATTGCAGAGGTGCCAGGATGCAGTGGACCTTTCAAGTGTAATGGACCATAATGTTCAACAGTCAGCGCCCACCTACCTCACCTCAGCACGAAGGTCCACGTTTAGCAGATAAGCAAAAGCCAACGTGGGCTAATGAGGAGGCTAAACCTGCAGTGGCAGAACTGTGAATTTGATAAACCAAGCAGTTCTGAGGGCTTTGAGATGGGGCTTACTTTACTTTATGAACACATCTAATTCATTGAAAACGTGTAGAGAATGCTACAAAGCGTTAGCATACATGGTTATTAAGGGTTCTTTAGTAAAGGGATTGGTTCTATGGTGCTATATAGAACCATTTCATGCTTAAATGGTTCTTTGCATGGTGAATAGGTTCTTCAGATTAACGGAGAATGTGCTGTATATGGTTCTATGTATAACCTTTTTGAAAAGGGCTCTGTATATCACCAAAATGGGTCACGTTGTCAAGCTTGTAACAATAAAAGAACCCTATTTGGTGCTATATAGAACCATTTTCAAAAAGGTTCTGTACAGAGCCTTGTACAACACATTCTCTGTTAATATGAAGAACTTGTTCACCATGCAGAGAACCATTTAGCACGAAATGGTTCTATATAGCACCATAGAACCAATCCCTTTACCAAAGAACCCTTGAATAACCACCCTTGAATACCTAAATCTGAAGAGCCATTTCACCATGCAAAGAACCATTTAAGCATGGATTAGTTTTGTATAGAACTCATGGTTCTAAATAGAGCCATTCCCTTTACTAAAGAGCCCTGGAAGAACCATCTTTTTAAAGAGAGTAGAACAGGAAGTGGTTTAACACTTAAATCGCATGTAGCTGGTGCACTTTTCTTGAATTAAGGGAACATCTGCCCCTTTTATGCATTATGTACCGCAATTTTAAATGCTTCATGCAGCTGTCACAAGCTGTTAATGTGCATTTTTCTGTCCTGTTAACAATAAGCTGCAGGCATATACCATCTACTGGATTACTGAATGACTTAGACTGAAGGTGAAACCTGCTTTACCAGGTGGTTGTCAAAATATAGGTCATATTGGGGGTATTGCAAACATATTCAAAATGTCAGGTATTTCATTCATACTGTAAAATAAGGAATGCGCATGACAGGTATGGTTGCTAAACGAACATAGCGATTAACCCGAAATGCTTAGACCTCAAAGCATTTTGGCAACCAGATCGGAATTCAAACGGATTTAGACCATGAAATATGTCTCATGTGTGATCCACCCACCCACAATCCTACCTCCTACTTCTAAAGCAGGCAGCTTTTGTACTGTACCTAAAAATCTCTGAACCCTTGAAAGCCCTTATGAATGAACACTGTAGGCTAGCTGAGAAAAACAACTATGGAGCTATCGTTTAATGCTGGCACAGTGCTGTAAAAGAATGAGGCTGATAGATTGGTGGGTTCATGGCCCTGGCCTGCATTTTCTACAATTGCAGCATGTAATGTCTTCACATTGAGTTGGGTTGCTTTCAGATTTCCCTCTGCATTAGGCCCGTGGGAGTGAGCGTTATTAAATGCGCCTGCTTGCTGCCAGAGACAGGCTCAGTGCATTCTTTGAAGTGAAGTTCAACCGAAGAACCCTCAACCTCCAGCCACACTACATTTCTGACTGTACATTAACACTACTGAGGAGTGGAACATCACTGAGAATCACTGATTAGAAGTGGGAAAATTAACATTTTATCCCAGAATAAACACTACAGCTATGTTTTGGTTTACAACCATATCCTTTGCACACTTATTTAGGTACATTTTAATCTTCTCTTAAGGCTAAGGAAGATTATAGAGGCGCTCTGCCACTGTTCCACGGCTAAATATCATAATTTGCTCTTAGCTTCAAGGATACTGGGCTACAAATCCATATGTAGCTTGTTCATTGTCAATCAACAGGAATTTTGTAGCATTTTCAACATAATCTCTATGTGCCCTACATGTAGCACATGATTGATTACCACAGACTTCAGTTTTGACACATTTTCAGTTATTTAGCAAAAGAAAAGAAAACTTATGGAGGACACATTTATAAAAGAAGGACCTGCCCATTATCTTCTATTATAAGTGCATTTTTAAGTCGATAGATTTTTCTTTCTTTTTTTTTTCTAAGTACACAGAAATTACTGTTGATGATTGTGCACCATATGCTACACATTTGGCAGACTGAGATTTGGTTGAAAATGTCTTTAAATACTTAAAGAGTGTTCCTTTAAAGGGGAATTCTGCCATTTTTTCACATTTCTAGGGATGCATCAATATAGGAAGTGTGGGTTGGTGCATACATATATATATGTACGTGTGTGTGTGTGTGTGTGTGTGTGTGTGTGTGTGTGTGTGTGCGTGCGTGTGTGTGTGTGTGTGTGTGTGTGTATGTGTGCATATATATCTCTGTTGGCGTATCTCCAAAATGGTAACTTTACAGGAGAAGGAAAAAACCTACTTTACTTTTAATGTAAGTCAATGGAACCAGACTTCTTTCCAAGTCATTTTGAGCCATTTCTTTTGGTCCATTCATCAAATTTACACACAATGTAAAGGGTAACAGGTATTTTTAAATTACGTCAAAACTGAAAAATGACTAAAATGGAGATACAAGGTTTACTTCTGACAGCAGCGATATATCTCCGGCAAAACTTTTGAGCAAATATCTGATGACACCGATATTGTGCATTATAGAGAAATGTATCAACTCAGATTTCTTTACAATGGTGCTGATAGGAACTAGAGGTCATGATGTCTACAGAGGGCATTTAGCAATTTTATTTACTATTCAAAAATGCCAGTAAACCTACATTTGTCTTGTGAGCTTCACATGTTAAGCTAATAATGGTAGTGGTAAATAATAAAACATACATTTTCTTTGGGGACTGTTTTGCCTTGGAACACCCTGCCTCTAGATAAAAAACACACACTTTAGACCAAAGTGTCTCAGAACTATTGTTAAACAACGTGTCAGGCATCAGTATTCACACCAAGTCTTGTAATACCTTTATGTGATGTAGCTTTTAGGGGCATTAAACCCTTCAGACGTCTGGTTCCCATCACCACTGTTGTGAATAATTCTAATTCTAATAGTATGGTAAGTTTCTTTCAAATGACACATTTCCCTTCAGACTTCTTTGAATGATTTGTTTTTATCCTAACAATCTAATCATGCAGGGATTTTGATAAATCTGATTGAATTCTCCTTTGATAGTCTCACTGAAGCCCATGGTACAGCCCGAGATTTAGTGCCATGATATAGAGATCAATTCTGTGGTATACCACAAGTTTATTCATGCACACACAAGCATGTGCATGTGTGCGTGCACACACACACTCTTGCATATTTACAGTTTTTCAACAATTCTAGTCTTTGTATGAGCCAGGCAGTTTGAAATGATCAATGCCCATCTGTTCCTCCTGCTCTGCTAAGCTGGCCGAGGAACAGAGTGCCATTCTGTCAGCAGAAACAGAGATGGCTGTATAAACCATACTACCTCACCACTATCACCCACTCTCTCTCTCCTTTCTTTCTTTTCTTTCCTTCACTGTCGTTCGGTCATGCTCATGAATATGTATGTACACATACTGAACATTATTTTCTCTTGATTTTTTTCTCCTTCTCCTCTCTCTTCACACATTCTTCCATGCATTATTTACTGATACTACACAATAACATGTATCATTGCAGCATACATGCAAACATGTATTATACATACAGCATTTTACGTTATTTAGTCATATGCATGACTGTGCAGGTCAGAGACTGTTTCATTTCTAAAGAGTGAGTAACTACAAGTTATTAATTTATCAGTGTGAGCAAAAAAGTCAAAAAGCATACAGTTAACAGGAAACTACACAGAAGCAACACTACTCTTTACTTTTGTGCATACTGCCACTTTAATTCCTTTCATCCTTACCATCTTAAAACCAGCATGTTACAGCTGTGTTCACTTAACAGAAGATAATGAAAAAGTTTACTCCCACTGGCATTATGTTACACTTCAAAGAGAAGCTAACATTCACGCAAGCCACTACCCAGACACACCTTAGCTGCCTTGCAGAGGACATATTTCTGAGGAGACTGAATATAAGACAATCCACTTGGACAAGGATGGTGAAAGTCAAGAGAAAAAAAGGCAAGAAAAACAGGACTTTCCAAAACTGGAGTTCAAAAACTTATTAAAAGATACAGACAGGAAGACTCCTAACAACTGCCCAAGACCTGGTAAACCATCAAAATCGATACCAGATAAACTTAAAGCTTTCCTCTTTGAGAGAGAGGAGAAAACCAAGCTGCTTCTGATCTGAAAAATCCACCAGTGTTTCTGTCCATCCTTCCACTGTGAGAAGAGAACTCAGCGCTATGAGTCTGAAAGGGTGTGTAGCTGTCAAGAAGCCAGAAAGGCCAAAAACAGACAAAAAGAGATGTGGAATAAGGTTTTATAGACTTAGAGATTCTTTTATAGACTTACAGAGTCTGAATTTGTATTTGGGATTTGGGATCGTGAGAAACAGAAAAAACACTTCTAATACTGAACTTTGGAGGTGTGGAAAAATATCCCTGCAGATTTCTTTGAAAAACTCCTAGTGCAAGTATGCACATCTCCTAAAAAAGAATGGAACATGTAGTATAATAAAGACAAAGGGTGAACACACTAAATACTAAAACAATGTTATTATTTTTGTTTGTTGATCTTCTGTTAGATATATATTTTCTGGGGTTATTTTCATGGCGCTGAAAAATGAATAATTTGTACTTAATGGCCGTTTTGACTGGAAATTAAATAAACGGTAAATGTATATTATGATGTATCGATAATTTTTAGATCACTTATCATGTATAGCAACATGCACGTGTGAGTTGACCAACACATACACATTCATACACTGCTTTAGGTCACACTGCACCTGCGCAAAGTGACACCTGACTCCAAGTAATGCCCCAGTTACACAGTAACAGCAGGCAGGTGGAACGGACACACACACACACACATACATACACACACACATACACATGCATACTGTTGGATACCCTCTCACCAGAACAATCAACAACAAGGTAAGCCTACATTCACAAAGACAGCAACTGTATTATGGCTTCCTCTGAAGATACATAATCAAGCGCTCATTGTGAATTGACTGTAGCGTAACTGAGTTACAGCACAATGTGCTTCTGTTCTTGAAACGGCCGTTATCTCGTAGTCCTGCCATGCCAACATCTTCACACAGGCTTGTGCTGCAGCTCACCAAGATGAACATTACTGTACATACACAAACAAGCTAACCACTCCATGATGTGCTTGATCAGTTTTTTTTTCTAATAGTGCTGTTCAGCATTTGTGTATGATATGCTGTAGTTTTTGTTGTTGCATGAATATACCAAACTATATATCCTCATTAGTGTTTTCTTAATGTGTCAGTGTGTATATAACATGATGCTGTAGTAGGCCCTCCCTACCACAGCTTATCAGCTTATCTTCTTTGACATCTCTTTTTCTCCATCTTTCTCTCCAACCTTTTTAATCAGGCTCTATGTGTTGCTTGTCAAAAAGCCAATGAATGTTGGCATAAATAATAATAGTAATATAAATCTAAAAAACTAAGTCACATAGCATTACATTACATACTAACACGTCCAAACACGTGATTTGCAACTGGCCAATTTATTCTTTTTATTGTGGCCAATCTGTGTTGCAGTTTAACGTCTTAAAACTGAACGAGGCATTCTGATGCTATATCTATAACAAAATGCCAGAGTATAATTGTGCTTGGCCCACTGTGCAAATTGCTGTTTACCTCCTACTTTCGATGTAGCACTTCAAAATAGGCGACTCATTAATGAATTAAAAATGCCAGGTGGGCCAAATAAAGAGCAAATGATTGTATTTATTATCAGTTTGGCTAATGTAAGGTGCTGGAAATGTGCCTCATGTGCTCATAGGCTACATGAGCACATGAGGCACATTTCCAGCACTTTATATTAGCCAAACTGATAATAAATACAATTATTTGCTCTTTAAAAAAAGGCTAAAAAATAATAATAATTTGGCTGTAACTAAAGAATCTGCCAAATAAAACATATGATTAGTGCATAAAAAAATATGATTAGTGCATCCCTGACACTCTTACTATATAGTTAAAATAGCTTCCATGAGTCAGCAGTTCATTTTTACAGATGTATCATTAAGCGGTACGTTCATAGTGACCTGATTTTAAATGAAGGCTTATGGGCTTCCATTTCCAGAGATCATTTTATATGTATTATATGTGGTCACCATAACCACTTTCATCACTTCCACAAAATACCATCACCATCCAGTCTGATGCCATTCATATTATAGCTTTTGTTTTGTAGATATATAGAGTCTAGACATGATTCACGGGTTGTGTTGTATTTCTCTCCTAAGCGGCAAGGAGCAACAACAAGTGGGTTATAAAGCCAGGTGCAGAAGCTTGATCCCATGTTCCCTAAGGTTTTCCTGCAATGGTGCGCGGCACTTTCCTCTTGTGCAGCCGAACTAGGTAAAGGTGCACTTCCATGCACCACAAACACAGGCACTTGGGCCGGCTTCGCTAAGCGCTATGCAGTCCTCCATCCCACCAGTGTTACAGCTGAGCCGCTAAGCTAATCCAGTGCAACTTCAGGCAAACACTGCAAACTTGCCATTAGAGGTTTGCTGGATAAAATCAATGCATTGATACTTAGATATGGCTAAATGAGCTGTGATACTAAGAAAATGCCATCATTATTGCAAGACTGCTGTCTGACTGAGCTTAAGTTGAAACATAGAGCAGTGCTGTTGTGCTTTCTGCCATGCAAGCTTTGCCCTTAGCATCTGTTCCAACACAGCTACCATATGTTTTTAGCATACTAGTCCTACTAAAACTAGTTTCCCAGACCCAGATTAAGCTTAAGTCTGCTTCTTGGTAGCGAATCATGATTGATATTACCATTTATTCCTAGACTAGGCTTAATCTGTGTACAGTTTGTAGTTGCATACTGTCATACAGTACCTGTGCAAGGTCTGTTTGAACTCCCATCAGTATAGTTCACATTATCATTGGAATATTGCACAATGTGATCAGCAGTACCACACTACTAATCTCTCTGCAGCTCCAGCTACTAAAACTGAGCACTAAAGCACTATCACTAGTACACCAAGACAGTTCAGCAGAGTGCACATTTTATCCACTTGTATCCTCATGACACTTTGTTTAGGGCTTTTTATGATGATGAGCTTAGCTCTATCCCACACTGCTGCAATAGGCCTACCAATAAGCTAGCACTATGTCACTGATGTTTGCTGGTTTGTAGTTGACAAGCAGGTCCTCAAAATTGGACCCAATTTCTTTATCAATGCAGGTAGGAAGCAGTATTTCTGATAAGCTGTTAGACATAGCTATAAATGTTTATATGCTTTATATATATTTGTGCTAGCATTTTTAGCTTCAGGGGGCAGGATCATCTCAGACTCAGAGAATAATGAGGTTCATGGTTAGAAAGTAAGTTTGAAAGATTTGAGAGACTTTTTATCATTTGTGTCAAAATGCCTGAGGCTGTTTTCACTAAAGCAGCTAGGATTAGCTTGCGCTAATGTGCTGCATGAAGCTAAGGTCGTCAGCAAGTTGAACATCATGCTTCTGAAGTTAGCCATGGAGCTCCAGCTGTGTGTGTGTGTGTGTCTGTTATGACTGACTGAGGCAATGTCTCGTACTCCAGAGCACATGCTGCTCCTCGTGCTTCTATCATCAGCCCATCTGCAGCTTCTGCAGTACACACACACTCACACTCTCACATTTTCGGTGAGAGTCACAAAACAACACACACAAACACACTGGCTGTCAGAGACAGACTAATATATTCACACTTATGCTGATACACTACCTTTAGATTTAACAAGGACCACTTTGTGATGTTAAAGCTTTATACCACATAGACCTCTGAAGCTGTGTCATTCAGTAGTCTGTCCTGGGTAGTTAGGAACTCCAGGCAGATAGGAACTCAAAGCACTTTCCTGTATAAGAAGAATAAATTAGGTTTTCCAATATCATGGCCTGTGGTAAACAAAAATGTTCCAAACCTGATGTGTTTTGTCCTGTATATTTCCGCCTCAACTGTAACCAGATCCTTTGAATTAAGAGGTCATTTGGCAGTCAAAATAGGAATAATTCATACATGCATGTTACTCATGTAACAAGAGTGGTGATGATGGTGGTGATATGGTGATATTAAAATTTCTTTGGAAAAAATAACATTAGATAAAAAGTAGTAGACTGGCCCATAACAATTATAGCTACTCTGAGCATCAAATCTGTGATGGCTGTTAGTCTTGGATGAAAAACGATTGAGTTCTTAATGAGATTCCTGTCTTTAGTTTAACTGTAAATAAACATGAGCATTATCATTTTGGCAAATCTGAGCATAGTGTGTGACTTTACTGAGATCTCTCCTAAAACTCAAGAGGAGACGTCAAATATCTTCAAAAGTATAATGTTGATTTTGCATTTAAGGCCTCATCAAGCTGGACCTTCTGATTTTGAGCCTTTGTGTGTGATGTTAATATGTAAAGACGTACAACGTGGTCCGAAAAATACCTGCAACCTCTGACCCAACACGTCTGACTTTTAAATTATTATTTTAGGCTATACACACCATATTTTCATGTGGCTTTTTTCTTCTCATTTTGTAAGGCTGCTACTTTCAATTTTAAGTAGATCTTACACAATACAGCTTTAAGGAAATATCATTTTTGATTTTGCACACTGAAACGACCTTGCATGATAAGAAGTCTAATACTGAACTTGAGCACTGTAATATACCGATGCCAGGTACTCAAGCTGTAGCATTTCTGTCCACCACGGAACAGAAATCAGCAATTTTTGAAAACGCCATTCATTTTTCTCACCAAGAAAACCAGCTAAGACCTGGAGCCCACAGAATGACAACTTCAGAGGTGTATGATTGTGCATAGTGTGCAGGTTAGTATCTCATCCTATGGACCCTTGTGTTGTTTTTGCTTCTTATAGAAGCAGGCCATGTCATTTTCTGACGAAAAGCAGATATGACACAGAAAACCATGTAAATGGAGCCACACAGCAGACAAAAGGTGGCCTTGATTCAACTTCAACAGAGAACACAGTCTTCTAGCCTTCAGACACAAAACATAAAAGGGATGGAAGAGGTCTTTTATTTCTCTCTCTCTCTGTCACAGATACACACACTCATGCCTAGACAGAAACACAAACAGCCAGACAAACACACACACACACAGCATTTAATTGTGTATACTTCTTCGCAGCCAAATGTGTTAAGACAGTGAGGCTTTCTCTTCAGAATGATCTGTGTGTTTCGGGAGGACACACACACACACACACACACACACACACACATACACACACACAAACACATGCAAGGATGTCGAGAAAGGAAAAAACACAGTTCTGAAAGTCTCAGACAGCACAGCGCTTACGTAAGACACTGGTGCCATAAGGTGTCTGTCTGGAATGAGGTGGCTTATTTGTGAGCAAATCACAGTAATTATAGTTCATGCAGTGACAGACTAGTCATCTGATATTTGTTAGAGGAGTCGAAACATGATTGACAGTGTTTTCTTTTACAGTCCTTTAAGTTCTAGGTATTAACCAGGTAAATGTGATGTACAAACTCCAAAGTACTAGGTAGTTATTTTGGTAACGTGGTGAGTTCCAAGGCATTTCACAGTACTGTGTAATTATTTTGAGTAAAAATTATGATGTAGTTATATGAAGTAACCTGTCTATTACCTATAAATGAAACTGAATCTGGGCTGTCAAAGAAAGCAGTGTTTTTACAAGGTCCCTACTGTTTATTTTAGAAATCTATTTTTATATTTTCTGTCATCATTTTTACACCATATAACTTTCCCATCTCCTTTCCTGGATAAAACGTGTGGCATTACATTGAAATCTAGTGTGAACATGTTTGAACTTATCACTTTGCTTCAAATATTTATGAGGTATTTTACTTTGTCATTTATCAGGTTAATAGCTAGAACCTGTTAATCTTCAGAGTGTATTTAG